AGACGCTGAAAATTCTGTTGTGCAAAGTTTTGTCCAGTTATTTAATTGAATTTAGCACCCAAAGGCGTTGCGACCTCTTTCCCCCTCTTAACCTCTCGCCCTCTCGCCATCTCTCTCCGTCTCTCTCTCTCTCACGCTCTATGTCACTCTCTATATTGTATTTATTTTGTTATTTGCCCGCTTAGATTTGTCCTTGCCCCGCCACGAAAATGATGTGGGGGGACGGGCTGGGCTGCAGTTGCGCTTGCAGCCGCATTTTGCGGAAAGTTTCTATGACTGTTTATTAAAGAGCTAAGCACACTTAATAAGCTTATGGACGGGGGGCGTGGCGCATGTCGGCCATGGCCCCAGTGTTGAGCAGTGGCCCGTTACGACGAGTGTTGAGCAGAAAATGTTTGCCATTCACACAATTCACAAAACAATTCAAATTAAATAGAAACTCACAAATGCCTTAGACTGGCTTTGACTCTGCCTCCCGCTCTCTCCCTCCTTCCCCCTCTCTCTCTTTCTCTTGACAGCACTGCAACTGGTAGAGCAGCAGCTGCTGGAATGTGTTTTAAAATAATATTGCATAATAGCCGACAGAGCAGCCATAAGAAGCCGTGGCATTGGCTGCACTGTGGGCAAAATGTTTAACTTTTTAGGTCACAAAAAGAATTTACTATATATCAATATTATTTATATGTTTTCATACATTTTAGGCTCTTATATTATATTAAAAAATGCCTAAAATGCAATTAGTTTATCTCATTCCCAAACAGCTCTAATTACTTGCTGTTAACTTAACAGCTTCTGATTTTGCTTACATTTCTGCTATATAACATAACAGTTTTTACATATTAACTGCTTAGCAAATGTAAAACATTTAAGATACAACAAAATGCAATGTTAACAAGCAGAAATGTTAAGATGAAAGTAATCATTAAAAACTGTTAAGTGTATAACAGAAATATGTTATTCTATAGACTATTCAATAACTTTTTAGCCCACAGTGCCAAAGCCAGAAGCAATGCAAGAAATAGCTGAGCATGCTTAAGTTTGTTTTGTATGCGTACGTGTGTATGTGCGTGTGTGTGTGTTTGCGTGCAAACATTTTAATTGCTCAAACATAAGTCGAACAAATTGAGTGTCCCAGGCTCGGTGTCGAGCACTTTGCTTTGCCAATGGGCTGCCGCAAAGATGAGAATGCATTTTACTGCATAATTCGTGCGGCACTTAATCGGATTGCGCGCTGTGTGCAAATCAAATACAATAAAGAGTAAAGTCTTTTGCCAGGAGGCAGCAGAGCTTCATTAATATGCGTAAAACGCAACGGAAACCGCGCCGGATTTAATAATATTAAAACGTCGGCAACGACGACGACGACGACGACGTCTGTCGCAACCTTCGCTTACCACTTAACATAATGATGACTGTGGGCGGAGCGGGACGGGGCGGGGCGGGGCAAGGCGGTATGCGGTGGATTGCGGCGTCGTTTGCTGTGGTGTGGTCTGGTTTTTGGGTCGCCATTAAACACAATTAATTGCTCACACTTAACACAGCCGAAACAGTCAGACCGGAAGCACAGAAACTGCCGTCAACAGTCGTCAGTCAGCTGTCCGTCATTATACAACACTGGCAGCTCATGCTGTCCTGCCCCCTGTAGGCCCACTGCCCGTGCGGGTTTCTTAATTACGCACGTATGGCTATTTAAATTGGCTTTTCTGCCGGTTCGAAATGTTAGTTTTATGTTAATTAACCATTGTTTATGCCAATTATGGCATCTGTGCTGAGCCAGAAGCTTCTGCTGCTATGCTGCCAATCCTCTAGAGCTAGGCACGAGTCAGCATTTGTCGGGATTGCGGCTAGTGGAGCGGGGACAACAAGGCCTGGGCATACATTGATAATAATTTGCAGCTGTTGTCTGCTAGATAACTTTAATTATGGCTCATCTTTATGAGCACATCCATACTTAAAATGGAAAGCCATAAGCTGTATGGGTCAGGAAAACCAGAAACCAAACAATACTCTGCTTTTAAGCTTACTTGACGCGTTTTAGGCATAATATAGTGTACACATACAGTAGTCACTCGCACAAGAGAACGCTTCGGTTTGAGAAGTTCCTATAACATGCCTATAATTACAATTTAGGGAAGAGCTACTTTTACATACTTTAAATAAAAATTGTTGTAAATAACAAACTATATTTGCAATTGCAGACCTAAGTTGGTCTAAACAGTAATTCGAGCAGGTTGCAGGTTCGAATCCCGGGCTAGCGTAAAGATTAACAGAGCGTTCGATTTTAAAGTGCGCATATCAGCTTTTAGCTATACTCTATATTCTATACATAAAATAATCATAAATGAAGCTGTGCTCAATAAATGAGTTGTCTAACTGACGTTTGGGTTCCCGGCTCGAATCCCGGGCTAACATTAAGTCATAATTGCCAAGCAAGCTCTGCGTATATTTTATGGCATGCCTCACTTTAATTCGCAGCAAATTAATAATGCTCTCTGCTAAGAAATTGCTGCTGCTATCAAAATCATAGTTTAATATATGAATGAATATTTTTGGCCACGTCTACAATGGCTCAAGCATATCAAAAACAAATCCGATTTGTTTGGCTCCTGCTCCTGTAATATATATGTATATATATATATATATATAAGTGTGCAGGGGGACTTACACTTAATTCGTCTCAGATTTTGATATGCGACGGAATTTGACAAGTGCTCCTGAAACGGAATTCTCGAATATGCGCGCGCTCGCTAGGCTGGGGCTAGCTGGGGGCTTTCGCTGTCTGCTCAAAGACAAAGGGACATGGGTATCCAAGGATCTGTGTCGCACACACACACACACACACACACACGCACACTCGCTCACACCTCGCCTTTGCTGTGCCATTGTTGCCAGCGCCAGACGCTGTCATATACACATGTGATTACTTATTGTGCTGCGAGTGTGTGTGTGTGTGTGTGTGTGTGTGTCTGTGTGCGTTTCAGTGTTGGTAAATGTGTGCATATAATGTGCTCTCTTTTGGTTTATTTATTTATATACACACACACATATAACCGCCACATTTCATTTCACTTAAGCTTTTTTAAACATATTTAAAGTACGTGATGTTTAATGTCTTCAGAGCATTTACCCCACACACACACACACGCGCAGGTCGCTTAGGGTGTGTGTGTGTGTGGATTTCATTCTTTACCTTTTGCATAAGCAAATTTTAATATGTTTAACTCGTTTCGGGCGGGCATGAACCACTTTCAAGTCGCAGAGCGTTAATTTTTGAACAGCAGCCGCACCCTTCGAACTCTGCCCTGTGTGTGTGTGTGTGTGTGTGTGTGTGTGTGTGTGTGTGTGTGTGGCCTAGGCACATAAATGTCAACTGGCGCACTCATCCATCAATGAGCTTTGAAAAATTAACACTGTGAGCGACAGTGCCAAAGGACATCCAACCAGGATGAGAGCAGCCAGCGCAGCTTGTGGACTCGCCGGCTGCGGCCTGTCGCTTTAAATTATGCAAAACGTTACAATTCCCTGGCTCAAAAAAGGTGTGGCCAAAATGATGAATTGTGTGCTGCCAAAGAGTTGCGCGCCAGTCTGCCCCGACCACCTACCCCTCAACCGCCCGACTGTAATGTGGGCCACGGCGGGTTATATTGGAACCTGGTCAAACACAACGTGACGAGTTTTACAGTGTGTCCGATCCACCTGTCCAAATAGATTCAATTCGATTAACTCGCATTGCACATCGGCATCCCAAAAGTGGCTACGTGACCAACGGCTGGGCGGGTCGCATTCGAGGATTGTAATTCAAATTTATTCACAGCGCGGAAAAAAAAGCGAACGTTCTTTAAATAGATAAGTCTAGGCAGGAGCCAGGCATTTACGTAGGGCTTAAGGAATGAAAATGTTGCTTTTAGCTTCATTAAAAATTGGGGGATTTGGGGGCGGGGGAGGGTGGGCAGGGATTGCTAAATACAAATTGTTTAAGCCTAGGCATATAAAAGACTACATTCCGAGTTTTATGTCACCAGCTTTGATGAGCTATGAAATCCCTTAATACATATGGTAGCTAGGGGAAGGTAGGAGTTCGTTTAACTCTTCTATTTATGCTATGAACGATTTAAAGTCGCATTAGGTGTTTTCCAACACTATAAAGATCACTTTTATTAAGTGTTCTTAACGAAAACCCAACACAAAGTAATACGACTGAAGAAAGTTTAAGGCTAGAGGTAGATAAGAGTTCGTTACACTCTTCTATTTATGCTATGAACGATTTAAAGTCGCATTAAGTGTTTTCCAACACTATAAAGAACACTTTTATTTAGTGTTCTAAACGAAAACCTAACATAAGGAAATACAACTAAAGTAAGTTTAAGGATGCGAGAAAAGAAATAAGAGTCTTATTAAATAGATAGGTAGATAGAGTTCATTTAACTCTTCTATTTATGCTATGAACGATTTAAAGTCGCATTTAGTGTTTTCCAACACTATAAAGAACACTATTATTTAGTGCTCTAAAAGAAAACATAACATACGGAAATGCAACTAAAGCAAGTTTAAGGATGCGAGTAAAGAAAAATCAAATATATATTTTTATGATTCTATGTAACTGCAGCTCTCAGCTCCGACTCAATTTGCAACAAAATATATTTTCCAGTGCGTATATATAAGCATTTGTTGCTTTCTTTTTTTGTTGTTTTCGCCATCTGCAATTTACTTTGATTTTTATTTTTTCAAAAGCAAACACCAACAAGAGTTCAAAGCCAGCAAAATGCAACCAAAAACAACACCAAAAACCCACCAAAGCCTGTCACAAAACACACCACCCCCTCCCCCCACCCCCCTCCACCCCACTCCAGCTTGCTAATATGTTTTTATTTTTATGTATTTCTCTTGTCTACTTCTAGTTGTGCTTTTGTATTTGCCCATTTTAATGAGTGTAGCTAAAAACAACAACAACAAAAACTAAAAAAAAAAAATAAACCAAATACAAAGCATTTTTTACATCAACAACAATCATCAATACACGAATGTGACAATAAAAACAAAGTCAAGTAGTAAAAAACTCAAAAAGCAAATTAAAAACGAGAGCAAATCAAATTTTAGTTGCACCACAACAACAACAACAAGAACAACCACAGTGATAAAGGGAGAGAACAACAAAAAACAACAATAAGAACAACAAGACACGATTTCCGATCAACTTAGTTGCCTTTAAAGCTGCATATATCCTGATTATCCTGCACATTTACCATCTCGGTGTCTAGCGTGTGTCCTTGTGTGTGTCCTTGTGTGTGTGCTTGTCCAGTGCCAAGTGTCCCGTGTCCTTAGACCCGACGCCTACACACACTTTCCTGCCTTCACTTGCTCGCTCTCTCTCTCTCCATCTCTCTCTCTCTCTCTCTCTTGCTCTCTCTCTCTCTCTGTGTGTCTTTCTTTATCTCACTATCCAGCCCTGTTTTTTGGCTGTCTAGCACTAAGCACTAGCGCACCACCAGCACCACCAGCCAGAGGCCAACAACCAACAACAACAACAACAAGAAAAAGAACAACAACAATAAGAACAAGTACAAGAATTAGCACCACCGACCAGGTCAGTGTCTGTGTGATTACCCCACTCCTGCTCGCCACACCATCCACATACCAGCACCACAATTGCACATTACTACCATAGATACCCACGGCAGTATTACTACCGCATGGAGCGCGGCACCAGCGGTGGTCAGCAGCAACAGTCGCAGTCGCAGTCGCACCACCCGCACCACCACCATCAACAGCAGCAGCAGCAGCACCACCCGCACCACCAGCAACAGCAGCAGCAGCATCAGTCGCGGCATCAGCATGTGGTATCGGTGCATAGCTACGATCCGTATATGATTGCCGGCGATGCGGATGAGGAGCATACCTCGGGCACATCCTCCTTTGATAATCCGGCAACGAAAAAGAAACCGCCCAAGCTGAAGCCCATCCATCGTTCCCTATCGATGGCCATTGATAATTATGCACCGATAGCGACCGAATTGGATTTAGATTTAGATGATGGCTTCATTGTGCATGAGCAGCCGCTGATCCACCGCTCGGCGTCGCCGCTGCCCGTGCGCTCGTCTGCACCGCCGCAGACCCTAGCACTCCCAGCACAACAACAACAACAACAACATATTCCCCAACATATACCCGGTGGCGGCGGCAGCGGTTCCGTGTCGCCGGCACTGTCTGCACGCCAGCAGCACCACCACCTACAACAACAACAACAACAGCACCACCTTAAACAACAACAGCACCACCAGCTGCATATGCACACATTCCAGCAACTGGCCGCACAGGCAGCTGCTGCACGACACCACCAGCTGCCACATACGCATGCAACGCATCAGCACCGCCAGCACACGCACCCGAGCTCGAGCAGCTCACCCACCTTGCACGCGGTCAGCCCAGTGCAACAGCAACAACAACAACAACAACAACACCATCTGCAACGACAACAACAACAACATCAGCCGGATATCTATCTGGTCAGCGGCGGCGGCAGCAGCAGCCTGGGCGACAATGTGGGCGGTCTGGGCATGGGATTGGGCCTGGGTCGCTCACAGCTGGGCGGCAGCGGCAGCACATCACCGATACAGTTTATCGATGTCGATGATATGCTGCCGCAACAGCAGCTGCACCACCCGCATCCGCATCCGCACGCGCAGCAGCAGCAGCTGCAGCTGAAAAAGAATTTGTTCCGGCGCTCAGACACAATTGACGTTCATCCGTCTACCAATTTTCAGATGAAGAAAACGCATTCCTTCCACGCCCAACAGGATCCCGCCGCCATGGAGCAAATCCAGCTGGCCGTCGCCGCCGGCTCGGCAACCTCCAGTCGTCGCACCAGCTCGGTGCGCGCCAATTTCCTGATGCCCGGCCCGCCCGCCGGCAAGGCGGAGATCTCCCGTTCGCCCTCGCCGAGTCGCCGCGGCTGTCGTTCGCATCGCTCCTTCAACGATCCCGGCCGACGGCCCAGCAGCAAGCCGGAGTCCATGGTGGAGTCCCAAATCCGTCATCCCTCGCTGAACGATGATCTGCTGGAGCCGCTCGACGGCCGTTCGCTGTTTCCGCCAACGAATCTGTCGCTGGAGAACGAGCTGTTTGTGGAGTCGCGTTCGCGCAGCAATAGCCATACAAAAATGGAGGAGCTGGGCGTGGCTGAGCTGGCGGCCGCCGCTGTGGCCGTGCAGCGCATGCGCAAGAGCTCCGGTTCGTTTGAGGAGACGGCGCCTGTTTTAGCCGCCGGCCACAGCGCCACCCATCCGCCCGCCGCCTCCGCCTCGAACAGCATTAAGCAAAAGCGCGAACCGCATCCACATTCGCGCCAGCAGAGCACCCACAGCCTCGAGCTGGACGGACGCCCCTCCACCAGCAGCGCCGCCGCCGCCGCCCACACAATGCAGCTGCACAGCGCGGCGACCGCCGCGAGCGCCGCATATCATTTTAAGCGCGGCGCACAACACGGACGCTCACTGTACCTGTCGCCCAGCAATCTGGAGGAGCTGACCGTGCATCGGCCCGGCCTGCTGGCGGCAGCGGCCGCCTTCCAGGGCACCAATGCCAGCGCCAGCGTCAAACAGGCCAAGGCCCTGCACAGCGCCAGCGTACGGCTGCGCAGCTACCGCGAGGCTCTGAGCGCCACCAAGAAGTCCAAGAGCTTTATTGGCGAGAGCAGCGGCGCCACCTCAACCGGTGGCGATGATTTTGAGCTTGGCTCGGCCTCACCCCACCGAAGGAACAGTCGCCCGCTGTCGTCGGCGGTGTCCAGCGTGGCGGCCGGCACCGCCGCTGTGGTCAACGTGGACGAGATAAAGCGCAGTCCGCGTCCCATTACCGCCGCCGCCGTTGCGGCCGCGTTCATCGAGGAGAAACGGCCGTCGTTCGAGCGCAAATCCTCGCTCACCTACGAGCACGAGCTGACCGATGCCGCCTTTGCCGCTCAGGTGCTGCGTCCCTTCCACCATAAGCTGGCCGCCGGACGCAAGGCGTCCCTGAGCGGCGGTTCGCACAAGCTCAAAAAGAAATCGCTGAGCGACGATACCGACGAGGACGAGGAGGCGGACCGCAAGCGCAAGCGCATCGTTTGCATTGTCCTGGCGACGGTGCTGTTGTGCCTGGTGTGCGCCAGCGTATTTGTGCTCATTGTCACGCTCACCTCCGGCCAGGGTCAGTCCGGCAAGAAGTCGCACACCTTCAGCCGGGACACGCCCGTCCACTACACGGGCATGCGACCATCATGAACTCCAACAACAACAACAACAGCAACAACTACTTGGCCCAGCTTTCACTTCCGTTTCCGCTGCGCTAACATGCACCTCAACTTCAACTTCTACTTCTACTTCTTCGTCTTCTTTTTCTTCACCACTTCTGTGTCCTGCTCTCTGTGTGTGCGTGCGTGTAATTGTCAGCCGCTTCGATTGTTCTCTCCAGCGCCACAACGGTCAACCAGCTGCCAGCAGCTGGCTAATTGAGGATGAGCCGCAGCCGCAGCCGCAGCGGAAACAACAACAACAATTGGCCGCAATTCGTGAGAATTACAATTGAAAAAGCACGCACCTAGCCGCGCGCCTGTAAGTAGGCAATGCCTTTTTATCTCAACTATTTCCGTTTTCCTTTTCAGTTATCGCACTTTTTATTTTGTTATCGTTATCGATTTTCATAAAGAACTACTTTCGCAGTGGAAACCAGTTCGGATTTGTTCAACACAGTGCAATATATAAATAACCAACACGTTTACCAACACTACACAAAGGACGCACGAAAACACGACACGCGATCAGCTCTAGTTGACTGTTTATCAAAACCTAACAAAAAACGTAACCAAAAAATAAATAAATAATAAATAAATAGCTACTCTTGAAGTGGAAACCAGTTCGGATTTGTTCAACACAGTGCAAACTATAAAATACAACACGTTTACCAACACTACACAAAGCAAAAAGCACATCAAGGCAGTTTAAAGAGAAAAATTACTGAATTTATATAAAATATCGCTAAATTTGCGATGATTTGCTCACGTTCGTGTCACGCATGAAAACACGACACGCGTTCAGCTCTGTTAATCAAAACCTAACCAAAAAACTAAATAAATAAATACCAAAAAAAACAGCTCAATTTATGAATTGTTTTTCTGGCACAAAGTATTTTCGACTTTTTCGACAAGCCAATAACAAATGTCAATAATAATTTTCAATCATTTGTTTTTTCTTCTTACTTTACCATACAAAAATTCTTTGCCCATGGCATGATTTTTAAATAAGGCAACTTTTTGACCAAATATGTAAGTCATATTTGTGGCCAGCGTGAGCTTTGCTGCCAGCGATGTGTGATAAAAAGTAACTTTTGTGTGAAATTCCGTTAAAAAGATTGCAGATTTTGTAAATAATGGTTGACAAACAAAACTGCAACTCACTTATAAATATTTGAAAATGTTTCTTATTAATATTAAACGTAGCAAAATCAGGATTTAAGCTTACCTTGAGTTGAAAGTTGAAGTTGAAAAAAGATGTCGAACATTTTTTAAGTAAAATATATACGGCAAAACAAGCTGAAATTCGATTTCGAAAAGATAAGATTAGAACATAAATCAATTGCAATCGATATATCGATATATATCGATATATATCGATATATATCGATATATCATTTAAAAATAGGCCATAAAGTAATCGAGATATTGAAATTTTTAGCATTTAGGGAAAATTTGAATTGAAAACTTCTCCTCCTTTCTTTCTTTTCTTAAGTTAATCAACTATTATTGAAACATGTTAGACATATTATCCCATATAATATATACATATAAATCCCGTTAGATCTTTAAATTCAACTAGAGTTCATGCTCTCTATAAAATTGCGAACAAATCCGAATGCAATTGGTTTCCATTCTTCGATGCCATTCGATTTTCGTATTACATATGCAAACGCATACAGGATAGTTATCAGACAGACTGAGGGTGGATGGGTGGGTGAAAGAAGGGTGGGTCAGTTGGCCATATGCCCCCCATAAAGCCATATAAATACCGTTACGTATTCCCCAATGAGCAGCTGCCAGATGCTGACTTACGAAAATTGAGCTGGCAAAAGCTCAGCAAATCTCGAGCATTACATAACCGACTCAATGACTAAGCGGCTGCCTGACTAACTGACTTGCAAACACCAGCACACACACACACACACACACACACGCACACACACACACGTGCGTTGGCCATAAAAAATGATGCTTACCTCGACTTTAATGACTGTGGCTGTGACTGCAGCAGCAGCAACAAGCAGCAGCAGCAGCCAAAGCCAAACCAAACTAATCAGCACTGTGTGTGTGAGAGTGTGTGAGAGAGTGTGTGTGTGTGTGTGTGTGTGTGTGTGTGTGTGTGTGTGTGTGTTGTTTAGCCAAGCACAGACAATGACAATGGGCTGTGAGCACTCACTGACTGACTGACTGACTGACTGACTGACTGACTGACTGCGGGACAGTGGGGCCTGCGTCTGCAAGGACCTTTTTGTTATCATGCTCACTTTTTATACTTTCACTTAATAGTTATGTGTGTTGTTTGCGTGTGTGTGTGCGTGTGTGCATCATTACGGGCAACGTGGCAACGGCTGTGGCATCCTTTTTATATGTGCGCCCACAGACATGCACGCTTATTTACACACACGCACGCACACACACACACAGAGACACGTTATTTTGCGTTTACGACATGAAACTAGGTTACTTTTTCATGTGCGCGTGAGTGAGTGTTGCAGCAACAACAACAACAACAACGACGACGAGAAGGAGCAACAATTGTTTACTGTTGGCAACGTGCCTCGTCCTGGTGACATTGCCCGCTCAGTTGGCTTCACGTCCTTGTCAGTGTCCTGTGAACGCCACTCGGCGTGAGCAAATGCCCACGCGACCAAGGCACGCCAAACAGCAAAAAGCAACAACAACAACGACAGCAAAAACCTCCTTTAGCCACGCCCACAAAAAACGCATCAACATCAAATTGACAGGCACATAGAATGCGTCTGATGGAAATGTCAAAGATATGTCTTTACTCTCATTTTTATACCCAAATAATAGGCATCAAATAATGAAAATGTCATCAGAGATACCACAAAAAAATAATAAAGAAAAGAAAGCACAACTATTTTAAGCACGTCGAAGTGTGAATACCCTTACTAGGCTCTAGTTGTTGGGCTTATCAAGAATATATGCATATCCTCTAAGGAGTTATACCTTATACATTTCGACCTATATTATATGAAAAGTGTGGTTATGTTCGATAATTTGAGGTTAGGTCAGAATAGTTGAGGTTAGGTTAGATAAATTGAGGTTAGGTTAACTTAATTGAGGTTAGGTTAGATTTGTTGAAGTTAGGTTAGATCAATTAAGGTTATGTTGGATATGTTGAGGTTAGGTTAGCTTAATTGAGGTTAGGTTAGAACAGTTGAGCTTAGGTTAACTTAGTTGAGGTTAGGTTGGAATAGTTGAGGTATGATTGAAATTATTGAGGTTAAGTTAGAATAGTTTAGGTTAGATTGAAATAATTGAGGTTAGGTTTTCTAAATTGAGGTTAGGTTAGCTAAATTGGGGTTAGGTTTGGTGGCTCGATCTCTCACTTCGCACACGTCAAACGTTCTTTTGTTCATTTACTCCGTGAAAAAACAAATAAAAAACGACAAACAAAACACTAATTAATAAAATGAATTATTAATGAATTTACTATCGCTCAAATAGAAAAAAAGCTTAAACAATTGAATTCTTTAAAATTATTAAAACATTTGTTTGTGCGTCATTTACACGCATTAAAATAATTGTAATTATAAATATAATTATGCATATCAGTGCTATAGCGCACTTTCAACTGAAATATAAGCCGAGCCGACTTTTCATTTAATACCGTTAAATGTCAGAGTCAGTGAACGCAAAAGTTCAACTCATCAGGGCGGGGAAAAGCGCGTGGAAAATGCATGATGGAAATTTAAACAAGCATAAATAATCGAAAAACGAAATTAATATTGAACATGATAAGCAACAACAACAAAAAAAAAAGAAACAACAATGAAAAGAGGAAATACAATTATTAATAACAGTTTTTTAAAGGTGTTTTCAATTGCAGCGAGAAATCCATTAATCGAGCTAAAAGCCGATTTAAAAAGGGCCCAAATATTAATTTAGTTTGAAGCGAAAATCCGCCCTAAGTTCAGTTCGAATAAAAAAGAGTGTGATTAATGCCAAGTACAGTGGTCGCTCGCTAAATCGAACGCTTTCTAATTAATATACCGAAATACATTAAATAGATTTTTTCAGCATTTTTTCTAGCCCCATTTTATAGGAAATAATTTATAATTATATATAATATTTATGTAAAATTATTTAAAATCTTTCAATTTATTTCGTTATGCAAGTAACTACTGTAGTTATCTTATTTCACCTTAATTTTCTGATTTTCTTATTAAAACACTTTGCTAATTGATTTTTTATTAGTTTTTTACTTTATAAAATATATATTTTCTATTCTCTCAAGTTCCTCGAGGTACGCAGCTCAGCGTAATTAATTTTTCCTTTATGCGCTTTATTTTCATTTTGTGAAAACCTGCATTTAATAGCCTTTGCCCATATTTGAGGCAAAGCCAAAAAGGGAAACCTCAAAATTGCATCAATAATTTCAATTAAAGAGCAACAAAACAACAACAACAACACACACACACACACACACACACACACACACACACACAGCACCTGCACGCCGCAAGTGAAGCAACTTCAGCCCTACTCGGAGGCAGGAAACTAATTAGTTACATTGTAGTTACATAGTCGTCGGTCTTCATCCGTCATGACGGCACATCAGGAGGCAGCTGCCCGGGCCGGTTGCTGCTGTTGCTTTCAACGCCGCATTTATAATTAAACAACATGAAAGACACAGAGAAGCAACACACACACAGCACACCTGGTCACACACACAAACACACACAGCTGGTCACACGGCACACAAAGCCAGTGACAAAGTGAGGCTGAAAGTTACACGGCGGCATTTATGAGCGCCCATAATGGCTGTTAACAATTTAACTTGTTTACCAGTGGGAAAGTTCTATGTTAATTGGTCTCAAATAGCCACACACGCACACACACACGCACACACGCACACACACACACGCACACACACACACGCACGCACATGCCGCGGGCTGTGCCCCATTGTGCTCGGTAGCTGTGTGTGCGGCACTTGCCAAGTGAATAATGGCAGCCAGCTGCAGCGTCACCTGTGACTGCCCCTCACCCCCCCCCCCCTCCCCCTGTCGTCATTAACACATTGCGCCTACGCCTGAAAGCGCCTGGCGGCTGCTGCAACGGGACAGAACGATTACAACCACAGAGCACGTGATCCGCTCCAGACTCTTGTTTGAGCTTTTTGTGCGCTTGCCTCATGCCACTTGCAACTTGCCCCTCTTCATTTTAACGCTTGCCCAGCTACAGTTAATTTTTTTTGGCACAGCCGCATTCTTGTGCCTTGTGCATATATTAAATTTAATTTGTTATTTTAATACCCTCTAAAAGCTGTTGCCCCAGGGAGTTGTTAGCCGCATTTGTCAAGTTGTGATTTGTTAAGCTCTTAAAGTCAAATAAAGTGAGCTCTTCGCAACGCCTGAATTGCTACAATATATTTCATATATACCCTGTAATTTCTTTTTAAATGTTGTTAGTTGAAGAAGAGTGGCCACTGTTACAGTAAAACGCTTGCGAGTCCGAATTTTCTTAGCTTGTTATTTTTTACTTAAAAGTATGATTTCACGCTTTCAAACTGAGATTATTTTTACACACAGAACCCATCAAAAAGGGATAAAAAGGGTCGAATGTATTTGTGCAAATGTCTTTAACAGGCATAAAAAAGCATCTCTGACATTATTATTACTTATTATAATTATTATTTTATTTATTATATATTTTATTATATTTTTAAACAAGCTCGCCTTCATATTCACGCACATATTACAGGGTATCTTCACAGTCGTCTACTTAAGGCTTATCCATATCCCATTTTTTTTGGCTTTAATAAACGAGTAACTAATTTTGCAATTAAATAAAAGCGTTCGTAAATTACTTGAATAGTTGGTCGACGTTTTTTGTGGGTCTGTGTGTGTGCGTGTGTGTGTGTGTGTGAGAGATGGAGTCTGCCATTTGGGGCAAGTATTTTTTAATTAAATTTTTGTAGCGCACATTTGGTGCAGGCAGGGTTAAACGAGAGCGAGTATTTGCAGCTGCAACGCATGCAGATGCGGCAGCCAAACAACATGCCACAGTTGCAGCAACTGTGTTGCAATATCAAGTTAAATCATTGGAAAAACTAAAAAAAAAAACTAAAAACGACAGCTACCAAAAAGCGGAACAAAGTAAAACCAAACAAGTTGTGGGCCAAGCGAACAGCTCGAAACACAATCAGACCTGCGGGCAGACCAACTTTCTGCCACCCCCACTCCCCCCCTCCCTCCCCCACCTACCGCTGCCAGTGTGTGCACATGTGATTGATTGGCAAACAAATTTTTGACACTTTACACCAGCATCTGTTGCAGCAGCAGCAGCAGCAGAAGCAGTTCGTGCCACGCCCACATGGCATAAGTCAATTTGTTTGCCATTAATTAAAAGTGTTGTAAAATGCACAAAAGCGTCGCGCAAACAACATCGAAAAACTCCAGGCGTGGGCTGGGGCTGGGGCCAGGGCTGTATTTGGCATATGGCGATAAACCGGAAACGGAAACAGAACGCGCGTCGCGTCGCGTACAAATGTTGAACTGTGCTTAAAGTAAATAGTCTGGATTGATGAAAGTTATATTCAAGAATTCATCAACAGGCATTTACTTCAACTGCAGTTTAAACGAAATGCAACAGAAGAAGGATACGAAGCGTGAAAAGTGCCAAAAAAAAAATAATCATAAACGAAAACTTGTTCCATTAGAGCTTAAACAAATGCTATATTTAAACATTATATATGTTATTTAACCGATCTTTATTAAACTTGTTAAATTTCTTGTTTGTTTCGACCAGTGCGTCAGGAGAACGAGCGCAGCATGCGCGATAACCTGGAGCGCACTCTGATGATGAAGAACCTCACGGAGCTGAATCTGCAGCGGCAGCAGCAGCTGCTGCATCAGGCGAAACAGCAGCAGCAGCAGCAGCAGCAGCAGCAACATCTGGCTCAGCAGTTGCTGCAGATTCCATGACAAACGCTTGACGGGCATTTCTAATGGCAGAGGGTTATGCGTGCCCTGTTACTATTTACCAACACTGACACTGGCATTGTTCAACACTAAACAACCGACAAAAGTTATGCGCACAATATAGGAAACAAAAAAACACTTTGTTAACTACAATTAAACGAATTGGAGCATGTGAAGGGACGCTACAGTGGACAAAATTAACTAATTAAGCTGATAAAAATTTAGAAAAAAAACAACCTATTTGTTTGATATGCGGAGCAGAATTAAGCAACAAACCAAACACAATACGAGTATTTAGCAGATTGTTAGTCAAAGTTGTAAGAAAACAAAAACAAAAACTAAAACTAAAACGAAAACTAAAACAAAAACAAATCAAAAAAGTGATCCAGTTTAGGCCTCAGTTGTGTGGGCAGAAAAATATGTTATTTATAAAGTTGGTTCGATGCATTGTAAAAATGTATTTATTGTCATGTATGCTAAATGTAATTTACGATCTGTTACGATCCGTTACGATCTGTTACGATCCGTTACGATCTGTTGCGATCTGTTACGATCTGTTACGATCTGTTACGATCTGTTACGATCTGTTACGATCGGTTGCGATCGGTTGCGATCTGTTAAGATCCGTTACGATCTGTTACGATCTGTTGCGATCTGTTACGATCTGTTACGATCTGTTAGGATCTGTTACGATCTGTTGCGATCTGTTACGATCTGTTACGATCTGTTAGGATCTGTTTCTACGTCTTGAACTAGACGTAGTCATCGTTGTTGTTGCCAATGCGCTAGCTAATGTACAAGTATGCCGCCCTCTCTCTATATAATTTCCAAGCCACGCCCAAAAACAGTAAAACATTTTCGAGTTTGCAGTCAACGACTTAGAGATACTCTGTGCCCAGTGCCAAAAAAGCTTTGAGAGCTCTCGAAAAGTAATCAGTAGTCCGAAAAACTTATTTAACCTTCTTTTAATATAAACATTCTAATTTCTAGACATTGCTAGAGGTTCCTTTTTACGAGCGCACACTGTAGTATGCTAAGCTCTTGCTTCACTATAAAAATAGATTCCCCTTTGGCACGAGAACTACATATTAAATTCTACCCTTTTCTCATACAACCCGTTCCCTTAGTGTCTAGAGTATCGAAGTAACAAATATAACCCGTTTCCTCGGTGTCTAGAGTATTAATGTAATAGAGATATACCCCGTTTCCTTTGTGTATAGAGTATTAAAACGAATGATAAACAAAGGTTTCGCTAGTTTAGTTAGTGCTTCATTGGTTTCATTTCCAGTTTTAATTCAATTGATTAACTCGATAAACTCAACTTTAATTTCAAAGTAAAACCCATCGAATAAATACACCTCCCCCCTCCCCCCTCCCACCCTTTAACATTTCCCGCCCGATACGAACTTGTGTGCGGCGCGTTTGGCATATAGACGAAAAATAATAATAGTTGGTCAATAGTTGTGTATATCTGAAACAAAGTTGTTAACTGAAAAGTATTCGTAAGTGTAAAAGCACGTTAAAAGCGGCAAAAAGTTTTTGTATCCTTAAGTAAATGGTAACTAGGAAAAACTACAAATAAAAACAAAATACAAAAACCAAACAATTTTCATAATAACAATAAAAGGAATGCATTAGCATTATTCACACTTTGTTTGCGTGCGCCAAAGTTCAAAAGGAGAAAGGAATCGAGGGCGCAAATAATTGTTGTATAGCAAATAAACTAGACCTTAAACAATAAATATTAAAATACAATTTAAAAGAAAAACCATTGAAAAAAACAAAAAGAAAAAAATGTTACTTAAGTGCAAAACGAGCTTGTTGTCAAATTAATTTTAAAGTTAGCTAAAAAAAATAAGTCAAAATGAAAAGCAAAGAAAATGTCGCTGCGAAAACTGTTCAATTTTGTGCAATTGTAAATGTGTAAATGTGCACGATAACTGTGCTTTATCGAGATATATATACATATATATATATATATTATTTCGATCTGGGTCTTAGCTATGCAAACTTCAGGCAACTTCAATTGAATGTGTTAGTTTTTTGTATTTATATGCGTGTGTGTGTATGTGTGTGTGTAACTATTCTGTTGCCAATTTCAAAAAACCTTAGCTTGAAGCATATATAAATATATATATATATATATATATTCTATCGGTTTCAGCCGCAAAAGCAACTCAAAGCTCAATTTCAGGCACAGTACGCAGTCAACACTTTTGCTTTGCTCTTTGCTCCGGTCTAACTAATAAAAGAAGTTGAAGAAAATAGTGAAAGGATTACTTAATAATTGGTGGAATAGGAAACGGTTCCAAGCGAAACTAAAGATCGTCAAAAGGTAGCAGAAACAGCCCGAATTTTTGTGTAAGATTGTGCCTAATCGAAAATGAGAATTATCAAAAGAAAAACATAAAATATAAAAACAAATTAACTAGAATAATAATTGTGTGTATATCGAAAGCAGCTAATAGAGCTGCTTAGTTAAATTAAACAAACTAAATCGATGTCAATAACGTTAACTGTATTTCAAATCAAAAACAAACTCATTTTTTGCAATACAGAGTTCATGGTAAAAAAAAAAACAAATATAAAAATCGTAAATGAAAAGCTTTAAATTAAATCAATTTCGAAAGACGACTTAAACGAATAAGAAGTTTAAGTTAAATGCGTGCAGCAAATGCAATAATGAATAACAAATTAAACAATCAAACACACACCCGCACACACACACTCACACACACGCACACACACGCACACATTTACACGCTAGTTAACTGCAGTTCACATAGGTAAAATTTGCATTTTTGGCAGGTGCATTGCGCAATCAATTTAACTTTCGGCAGGACACGAACTAAAACTACACGCACACATGCACAAACAATGCCTAAAGCATGTAATAAATATGCACACACATCTTTGTAAACTCCCACACACACACACACACACACACACTCACGAACACAGCTAGAAAGCAAAGGATAAGCTGCATTAAGGCTCAAGGCAAACACAAATCTGAATTAAATGTTAAAATGAAATGGAATTTCGCAAAAAGCAAAGTACTTTGTAATTGCATTTAACATAAGTAAATTGAATATATACATATATATAACTAAAATAATACAGAAAAGCGAAATTAATTTAGTTGAGAACAAAACAAAACTTAATAACATTTAAGCTGAATTATTATACAATACAAAGAAGAGTAAAACAAAAAAACAAACAAACAAAAGTACTTGGTAATCAGTTCATCAATGAAATTCAGATGTCGAGGCTCCAAATTGTTTTCCAATATTTAAAGAAGCTCTTCAACACTTGAGTAGCCTTTGAAAGTGTCAAAAACTTTGTTTGAGCAATTATTTACAAAGTACACACACACACACACACACCCACACACACCCACACACACACACAAGGATCATGGCAAAAATGTAAATAGCGAAATTTAAGTGTAATAAAACAATAATGAAATGATGCTTGATACGTATGTAAATCAAAAGTTGACGACTTGCGGTAAATAAATTAGTTTATACAAGTGTACATACATACGATGATGCCCATGTATGTACATATATCTGATTAACAAAGAATAAAAAACAAAATACAAAAAACATCAATTTAATAACTAATATGTGCAAGAATTCAAACTTAATTGTTAATTGTTGCTCGAAATCAAAATGGAAATCAAACATTTGAACGCATTCAGCGTTTTATTCATCAAACAAAAATGTTGAACTCAACTAACAAGCAGTAAATATAATATTAAATTTAAATAACAAACAAAAATGCAAATCAAATTGTGTCACCTGTTTAGTATATCAGTGTATTTGTAACTGAAAGGTATTGAAATGCGAAACAAAACAAAAAATAAAAACAACTTGAACAAACATGAAAACAATGAAAATAAATGGAATTTTTAAATGGAAATGGCATATTTTCTTTTAATGGAACAGATGCGTAAGTATGAGGGGCTGGTTGATCAAAAGTAGTTTATTTACATTTTTATTGCATTTTAAACATATTTCTCGTCGCTCTTAACTCCACTAATTTTCAAATTGCAATTTAAATTTGCCGCAACATTTTGGTGTTGCCACATCAGTCGATTGCTAACAGTATTCTTAAAATTTAACACTTTCACTCCTCACTTACTCCTCACGTAGGTAAATAAGAGTACGTTTAACAGCTTGCGCTCGCTAAATATATGTTAAATGACCTACCCATCCAAATCTATTAACATTAGGGATGAGCAATAGAATAACGATGAGCACTGCGCTCTGTTAAGGCTCGCTTATCAGTGAGTAGCAGCTGCTCTCACTGTTAATAACAGTTAGCTAGCCATTATCGCAACAGAGTGACAAGGTAGCGCATAATGTTATGCTTAGAGAGAGAACCAGATGAACAACGGTCAGGGCCTTAGTTTAGTTCAGTGAATCGTTCGATCGAACTTATTCCGAACGAGTCGACACAACGCTAACAGAAAGCCTGTTGCGCAGAAAATGGGGAAACGAACACAATTAATTAGCAATCAACGGCAGTAAATAAACTGCATTACGCGAGGAAAACAAAAGCATTCGAAACGTTAAATCCAAACAAACTAAATAAACATTCGACTAACGACAACGCAGCCTAGCCACAGCCGCCGCAGTAACAGCAGCAACAGCAGCAACAGAAACAGAAGCAGATCAGCAAAACAACAAGCAAGTCGCGCACGGCTCAATGAAAAGAAACGAAGAAAAACAGTTTATTTTTGTGTTTAGCTGCCTGCCATACCCCGCCAGCGTTTGTCGCGTGTGCCAACGTGATTGTGTGCGTGCGTGCGTGTGTGTGTGTGTGTATGAAAATATTTAAAAACAAAATCTTCCGCGCAGACGGTCAACGCACAGGGCAGGGGCAGCGGCAGGGGCAGGGCGCAGGGGTCGCAGACAGTGCACAGAGAGACAATCAAAAAAGCAGCGACAGCAGCAGACATATAAACAACATCAGCAGCAGCCAGCAGCAGCGGCGGCGGCAGCGACGTCGACGTCGTGCTCGGTGACGCGTCGCGAGGTGCTCGAGGTCAGTTCAGCACATTTCGCGCACGGCCGTTTAATACATCTCCACCCCAACTCACCTCAACCCCCGTACCCAACCCCACCAGAACGGCCCGAACGGCCACCCGCAAACGCACGCGCGGCGACGTTTCAAATTCTCAGTCGACGACAAAAAAACAGCATCGGTAAACACCGAAAAACGAAATAAGTTAACGAGAGACTCACGCGCAACTCTTTTATTGTTTAACTGATAACCTGTGCGCAGCTGATAAATATCAAGTGAAAAGTGGAAACAAATTATTGCAATTGCCCAAGCGCCAAGTGCGAATGCGAATGCGCCCTCAATTTGTATGCCATCAGCAGCAGCACACACATTCACATTCACATTCGGCACACAACACGCACGCATCCACACATACACACACCCGTTCGCATTCCCCCCAACAGACGACCACTGACGTCAGTCGGCTGGATCGTTATCGTTATCCGAAAATGGTGATACCGGGGCCGGAGCCCATCACGGGCGCCATTGCCACAGCCGGATTTAACCGTACACCGTTAACGGAGCTGAGCGGCGAGACGCGCCGCCAGCTGGCATGCATGCTGAATCGCAAGAAGGTGCTGCGCTCCGAGGAGGGCTACGAGCGGGACTGGCGCGGCATTGCGTCGCTGTCGGGCCAGCGTGGCTATGTGGATGAGTTCGCGAATATGCCCATGGATCTGGTGCTGAACAGCTGGATCAAGCATAATCCACAGACAGCCGAGGTGGGGCATCTGGAACAGTTTCTGGGCATCATCGATCGCTGGGATGTGCGCGACGATATACAGGAGAATCTGAGTGCGTACTACCCTACCCTAATATGAGACAGAGAGCAGCCAGAGAGAGAGAGTAACCATTTCCCATTCCCATTCCAGCCAAGGACACAAATCGCTACAATGTGAAGCAACAGCAGCTCGAGCAATTGGCCATATCCGCGCGCGACAGTCCCACGCCCACGGTCAAGTGCCTGGAGCGGAACAACAACAATAGCCTGGCCCGCGATGTCAACCTGCTCAGCATTGACGACGAGAAGTGCCTGCAGAATGGACAGCCGCTGCCCAAATACAATGCCTGTGTGCTGTACGCCGAGGCGGACATTGAACATGCGACAGACATCATGAATAATCTAGAGTCTCCGCCCTATAATCTCAAGGTAAACTATTCCAAAATCTCTGCTATAAATACACGATATAACCCACACACACACACACACACACTCACACACACAGCTGTTCTTGAGGCATCGGGACCTGCTGCTGGGCGTGCCGTTCGAGCATGTCGAGCTGTCACAGTTCATGGCGACGCGCTGCAATCATTTGATCGTCGTTCTCACGGATGAGTTTCTCAAGAGTCGCGAGAACACGTATCTGGTCAACTTTACGCAAAAGCTGCAAATCGGTAGGCAACACAAACGAAAGGGGACATCTGCTTAATATTGTTGTTAATCGAATCGAATTGAATTGAATTGAATTCTTGTAGAGAACAACACGCGCAAGATAATACCCATATTGTACAAGCACAACATGATTATACCGCAGACGCTGGCCATATATACGCACGTCAACTACACGGACACCTCCAGCCTGTTCAATTTCTGGGACAAGCTGGCCCGTTCGCTGCAGGATGTGGACACTGCGTCCATATACAGCGCCAGCCAGCAGCTCTACACGTAAGCACAACAACAACTGGAGCAACTGCATCCATAACAACTCAATCTTTGTATTCCACACAGCCCCACAGCACCGGAAGCGAGTGCTTCACAGCCGGAAACGCCGCGCATACTTATCAACGATGCGGACGTCACGGATCTATCCGATTGGAATCTAAGCGAGACAAAGCTCAAGTCGATGTCGGGCAACACGACGGCGCCGTTGCCCGAACTGAAAGTCAAGCGCAAGGATAAGCTGCTGCAGAAACTGACGCTCAATTTTAGTACCTCGCCGCGCAACGGCAGCGCCGGCAAACCGCTCCGACATGCGCATTCGGTTAGCGCCATCAACATGCAGGAGCAGCAGAGCACGCTCAACGCCAGCAACTCCAATCTATCAACATATTCGGAGAACAAGAAGAGATCCAACAAGTGGAGCTCCAAGCTGCTGAAGAAGTTTACGCGCAGCACCACCAAACTGCAAACGCCGTGCTGATTGGCAGGCAGCAAAAAAGTAGCAGGCAGCTTCGCTGGCAACACACGTGGCATGCTGCCTGTGTGAATGTGAATTTCCTTAAATTGCGACCAGTTTAATTGGCATGCAACAACAACAGTGTCAATCCATCAACCAGTCACCGAGTCACCAGATAGCGACACCAACCACCCTCCATTTAATAGTGATTTTTCGTTTGTAATCTTTAGCCTAAACCTAAAAAAAAAAAAGAAACGCCAACTAACTTAAATGTATTTAGACGCACTTGTTAATCTATGTAAGTCAACAACGAATAAAGACAATATATATATATATACATAAACGCACACAAACGCACAAACACACGCACATGTAAAGACAATAATCTATACTAGTTATAAAGAACCATATGTACACACACAAGAGCTAAAAAAGTGCCTGGAAAACAGAAAACGGCAGAAAACAGCAGAAAACAAAAACAAACCTGCAAACGAATTGCCAATTGTAAGGTTAATCGAAGCACACGCAATTAGCTGTTAGTCACGAGTCTGATAAGTGACTTACTTAATTCAATTAACTTAACAAACAAACGCCCAGCCTTATAGAGATACACACTGTGCCCCCTCCCCCTCTCCATACCCCCCTTCAGACAAATACCGCCCAGTTTGTTTGCATTCTCGAGTCGTAATCGTGTGTCTCGCCAGTCTAGAAACGAATGATGAATAACTTGTGCGCGTTAGATATAGTGTGTGAATTTGATGAATAATGTACATGTATCTGTACTATATATATATTAGTTTGTATATAAGCATATGACAGCTGTGTGTGTCTGATAAAGCCGCAGCTTTCGTCACATTTTTTTTTAAGTAATTGTCGTCGCAAAGTGGAGCTGAGCAACGCTTTATGTGCCACACACACACACACACACACACATACATATACCTATTTATAAGTCACGCGCCTATATAATAACCTGTACTTGCACAACCTGGGTGATATATTTCACGAAAAGAAAAAGTCGCGTGCTCTGGCATACGCCGTACTTAAACAATTCTATGAATGAGCTAATGTGTGTTTGCTTCGAAATCGGGCAATAAACATTTAAATAATATGCACCATATACCATATACTATATACTATATAATTGCTAGCGCTCAATCTTTGTAGTTAACGTTAAATGGAAAAGCAAGTTTTTATGTTTTTTTTTCTTGTTAAATAAACAGTCTTGTTTCTTTGTGCAATAATTAACTTGAACTCGATCTCATGTCAATGTGTGTTAAATTCACTTTGAGTTCATTTCCGTTCGGCCGTTGCAATAAATTAATTCAAATTTGTTTAAATTTTTTTTTTTTTTGTATTTATTTTTCATTTTATTGTTTAAATCGCTTCATAAATAACCTTTTTGTTTTTGGTTTTGTTTTGTTTTTGTTTTTTTGTTTACTTTTGTTCATGTTTCTTGTAATCGAATTTTGTTATTGTTTTTGGTTTTTGTTTTTTGTTTTACCCATGGTGAATGTTTACTTTAGTCCAATTTTTGTTTTTTGTTTTTTATGAATGTTTACTTTGTTAGTTAATTTGTTATGTATTTTTACTTTTGCATGTTTCAAATGTGTTAACCATGCCTTACATGTGTGTGTGTGTGTGTGTGTCTTTTATAATTATTATAATAGCTCCTTTTACTCGTTTGTGTGTTGTTTCATTATTTTATTATTATTTTTAAATTTTATTTTGTATGTTTTACATTTACGTTTTGAACAAATGTTTGTTGTTTGTTCTCACAACTTGAGCTTGTTCTTTATTTTAACTTTGTTTTGTTTTCTTTTTTTGTTTGCTTTTTAATTGAATTGTTTTTTTTGGTTTTTTGTTTCTTTATTTTCTGTTCTTCATTTGTTGTATGTGTATATGTATATTTTTTGTTTATTTATTAAGTTTTATTTGCATTTTTAACAAAATTAATAAAAAACAATTCATTATTTGGTTTTCTTTGCTTTCACTTAATTTGTTTTTTTATGTTTTCCTTTTTGGTTTTTTGTATATATTTTAATTGATCAATTTATTCGTAATTTGTAATATTAAAACAATGTAACGTATAATCTTGCTCTTGCAACTTTTCAACTATTTTCCCCAACTTGTTTACTTTTGCCGCTTTTCCATAGCCAACCGCTTTCAAGCTTAACTAATGCAAATGATTTTGGTTTTCCCTTCATTGGGAGGGGTTTCTTATATCATTTCTTTTTTTTTTTTTTTTTTTGTTGGTTTCATCTTATAAATCTAACTGATTGCATTTATACAGAGTGTTACGTGTTTAAGTTTTTGTCGGGCTTGGCTAAAAGATAAATGAGGAGGACTGTCTCGAACCTAGGTGAAGAGTCGGGAACATACTATATCTTCCACAAAACAAAATGTACTACAAACTTGTCTTTTAAGCGCAATTCTTTATAGTTAAATGTTAACAATGATTATGATTATGGAAGTCAGTTGAAGAAGTCAGTATTCAGTATGGAAATTTGAGTTTTTGTATGTTATATACTGCGAGTTTCTCTTATTATGTATGTAATGCATTGTATTTTGAGTATGTATAGGTTTTTTTTTGCTTTTTTGTTTTTCTTTTAATTTGTTTATATATGTATATTTATAATTGTGCACTGCAGCACTTGACTTCTTCTTCTCTATTTAATCATGACTCCCAAACTGTACTCTGCGGCTTATATCATATATCATTCTTGTTGCACGTTTCGCTTTTTTTATTTACTTCATTCTTATTTGTTGTGTGTTTTTTTTTCTTGACTTACTAATAAATTAAAACAACGCTAATGAATTCGTTTTTTCATTTGTTTTTTTTTTTGCTAATTGTGAGCTTCGTTTTTGGTTTTTTATTTCTCTGCTATAACTCTTTGTATTTATTATCATTTGTAATCAATTATCGATTTGATTTCCATTTAATTTGTGCCTTGGACAAACGCTTGCTTTCCAAAATTCTTGTTGAGCATTAATCTGTTCTGTCCCAATGCGTGTCGAGGTAAGGAATTTGGGGGAAAGGGTGAAAATTCATTTAATTCCAAGCACAATCAGACGACGGGGGGCAACGAGGGGAGAGAGAGGTGTAGGAGGAGCTGAGCAGCTGAAGAGCTGATAAGCCGAACGGAAATACCCTATCTATAGCTATTTTCATAGTTGATTGAAAGGTGGTCGGGGTTTGAGCAGAGATATTATATATATATAAGCTTATCGGGGCACTTGACATACATATGTATATATAAACATATATATGACCAGAGTTGTGAGCTGCGCCGAAGAATTTGTACAATTTTACACAACAATATTCAAAGGGGTTTTCTTATCTTTGTTGTTGTGCATCTTTTCCAATTATCTTAACCCAATTACAATAGTTCATGGAATTGCGATCCAAACGAATTAGGGGGGGAATTTTCATTATTGTTTAACAATTTAACATAAGAAATGCAAGTTTTTCTTCATTTTGTTTTTTTTTTGTTTTGTTTCATTTTTTCATTTTTGGCAGTGTTTCATTTGTATGTAATATGTTAATGTTAGTTTGGCTTTTAGACATACTTTATAAACTCTAATTACACAATGCTCGCATCGCTGATATTAAAAGAGGAACATAAAAGTTTGGGTATAGTGGTGTGTGTGCGGTATGGGTGTGTGTGTGTGTGTGTGTTTTCATTGCTATAAAATGTCTGATGATTTCTTTAGGTTTTCTTAATCATCATCAACTTCTTCGTCATCGTCTTGATTTAGTTACTACAATGTTATGTATATAACTACAGTTAATTACGTAATCATCATTAAGCCAGACGATCATTGTTTGAATTTTCATTATCATCATTCGCATTCGCATCATTTCCATTTACATTTGGAGTATGATTAATGCCAAAAGTGTTACCCATTTTGGGGCTGGGGCTGTACGCGACTGTTATGTTAACGTTTTACAACACTACAAATAACGGCAGTTTTGAAATGCTGATTCGAGAGGGAAAGTTTAACCTTATGTTTTTCATTTTTATATTCTTTGTTTCGTTTCTTTTTTGTTTTGTTTTATACTTATAATAGCCTAATAGAATGTTAGGAAACAACAACATATATGGAAGCCATGGAAAGCAACTGCAAGTAAATTGGGTTCGTTTTTCTATAGAGAATATACCAATGTGCTCTTTAAGGAATACAACTGAGGAACTACACAAAAGTATGCACATACATATGCATATAGTGATATATATACACATACATTGGCACGTTTGAATTTGGACTCTGCTACAGTTAGATATATGTACAGTGAAAGCTCGCTAGAGCGAACAACTACGAACTCGAGTTGTTCGTTTAAAAGATATGTCCTGAAAATAACAGGTTATTCCTTGAAAACATATTTGCTAAACAATTAACTAGAATTTAACATATATTCCTCTGCATATTATTTAAAAACTTAGAAACTAATATGGCACAAAATTAAAAAGTCTATTTGTTATATAAAGGAAAAGTTGTACTTCTCTCAGCTTCAGCTATGGCTATTGTGTTAAAAAAGAACTAAAACTCGTCAGTTGTTCGTTCTGAGACCCTTCACTGTACCTTATCCAGTGCCAAGCAGATGTTTAGTTAGTTAACAATCGGAGCATTTAAGTGCCCGACTTTGACAGCTGAGAAATGGTTTGTTTTAGGGGCTTTTTTGTTGATTTTTACAACTAAATAAGGCATGCGCTAGGCTGTTTGGCACACAAATGAATCAACGTTAACAACAATCATAATAAATATAGCGATAATTATAGTAATAATAATAATAATAAAAAATCAATAACAGAAATACCTTTTTTGTTAATTTATGTGCTTATTATCGGTTCGTTAATCGAATCGCTTACAACTTGTTGTTTTCCCGGCCAAATGACAAATTCGCTAAATGCTACGAAAAACGTTTCGTTCCTATTGGCTTCTGAATTTGTTATCATCCTTGTTATCCTTTATGTTAATTTCTGTTTCGTTTTGTGTGTGTGTGTTTTTTTTTTTTGTTATCCACTTTGTTGCTTACTTCACTATTGTACAATGTGCGGTTGCCGTTGTTTTTGTTTCTTTGGTTTTACTTAATTCTTTTATAATTCATAATAGGTTTTCTTTTATAAGTGTGTGTGTGTGTTTGTGTGTGAGGGCGTTCGGGGCGTGGCCAGTTGCCGCTGCGCGTGTCGTGTCTAAAAATGCGCTAATTATTGATACCTTTTTATCATCGTTTCTCCACTTTTGGAATTTGTTAATAAATGTTTGTTTGTTAGTTTTTGTTTTTTCGTTTAAATTCTATCCTCTTCGTCCTCCTCCTCGACCTCCTCGCCGTTCTCCTCGAGCTCCTCCTTGTAGCCAGGATGCTCGGATATGGCATAGTAGTTGCCATTGTAGATGACGCCCAGTTCGCGCAGCGCATCGCCGCGTATTGTCGCCTTTATCGTCCAGTTATAACAATCATCCGACTCGGACTCACGATCCAGACGCTCCACGTCCAGTATCTTGGAATTGAGGCGTTCCAGTATGATGCCGATATCCTTGATGCTGAGATGGCGCTTCTGATCGACAGACAGCTGATCGATGAGCAACAGAAATTTCTCCGTCGTCGTCTTATCATCCTCCATCACCGTGTTCTCCGTTTCGCTCTCGGAGCTGTCGCGCTCCGGTGCAATGTCCAGGAAGCGCACATGACCCTTGGCGCCCGACGAGCGACGCTGCATGCTGCCGCTGTTGCTGCCGCTGCCGCCCAGCATAGGATCCATAACCGATGAGGACATCGCCAGCGTCGCCTGATGCGCCTGCAGCTGCTGCTGCTGCGGACTGCTGCTGCCGTCCTGTATGGGCGAGGTGGCGACGCTCTTGTGCACGGCTATCTTGCGGCCCTCCTCGTGCAGGGCACAGCAATGGAAGTCGCACTCCGTGGTGCTGGGGCTGCCCGCCCGGCTGGGCGTGTGCGCATGATGGGCGCACTCGGGCGTATGCACATGTACCGCGCCGACGGCGCTATCAAAGGAGCCGCCCTGCTTGGAGAGACGGCGATTGCTGCCGGGTATCACAACGCCTGGCGGCAGGACAACGCCGCCCGGATGGTAAATGCTCGCCGGGCCCTCGTCGCTGATGACCGTTATTTGTGGGCTGGCATAGCGCGGCTGTGAGGACTGCGACGACACCGATTTGTTATCCAGCGAACTTTGCGCAGAGAGTCCCTTCTTCGAGGGCGAGTACTTGTCCGATGACAGCAGTCCATTGCTGCTGCCCAGGCCGGCGCCCATGCACATGCCGCCGCCTCCTCCACCACCACCACCTCCTCCTCCGCCGCCGCCGCCGCCTCCTCCACCGCCACCCTGGCGCTGATCCCAGTGCAGTACGACCGTGACACGCCCTTTATTATCCATAATCTTCCAAGATGGTGTCTCATCGTGCAGTTCCAGTGCATGGATCGTCTCACAGACGATTTTCGGTATAGCTGATATAGCTGCAAATAATATGTGAGCTGTGGATTGAAGTATGGTAAGAGATCCAAGCACTTACCAGCCTTTATGACATCCACACCCGTGGGATACCATCGTTCGCCCTGCCTCAACAGCAAGAGTACCGTATTGTTGGCCAGGGTGCGAAAGTATTCGCCATCCTCAATTTGGGTTCCATCACACTCCAGAACAACGCGCACGGGTTCTGAAGCAGGAACCCCCAATTTGTCCTTGCCGCGCACCAATAGCTCCTCAAATGTACCAACTACGACGCCTTTGCGCACATTCCGCCAACTATCCCAAATTTTCAGTGGTCGCTTGCCGCGAGACTCCTGTAAAGAAATCAAAGTCAGTGTTGGTAAATGCCATAAAGTTACAACTAGTTTGAGCTAGTTTAAAAATACATTAAAGGTCTCTTTAAGAATAGTTCAGGCTAAGAGCAACAGCCTGATGTATGATATATTCCCATACTTTGTCATACAATAATAAGTAAGAGTTTCTAGTCGGGAGCTCCCGACTAGGGGATACCCTGAACCCTCTTCTTCCGACAGGCGATAGGTATAAAATGAAAGATACTTGATATATATATACTATTCAAGATCCTACATGTCAAGTTAAGTGACTCTAGCTCATATTATTTGGCGAAATTGCTCAAAAAACAGGATTTCGATATCGATTTTTATCGATTACTTGGTAACGAGCCAAGTTATCGAATATCGGAAACAAACTCGATCTGCGCGGGCACTAGGAGGACCTACAGCTAAAATTTCAAGTCTCTAGCTCTTATAGGTTCTGAGATCCTTGCGTGCAAACATACGGACAGACGGACAGACGGACGGACGGACGGACAAATAGACGGACATGGATAGATCGACTCGGGAGTTGTTGCTGATCAAGAATATATATACTTTATGGGGTCGGAGATGGTTCCTTCTGCCTGTTACATACATTTGCACAAATACATAATACCCTTTTTACCCATTTTTAATGGGTTCAGGGTATAAAAACCCAATTTTCAATCGATATTCCTGTGCAAACTATATGATATAGTAGGTCGATGTCGGAAGAAACACAAAAGGACTCGTAATTCGCGTGTGTGGACGAGATACTTTGAAAAACAAATTAGTTTTTCATATGAAAAAGCATTTTACACGATTTTTTCGTATAAAGAATTTATGCTAAAATATTCCGAGTCTCATAAGATATTCAACTTTTGATAGAAGCACAGTTAAGCAATAAATAAAAGCTAGTTAAGCTCGATTTAGTTTCTTAAAAGATACGTGGATAAAAAAACCTGACCTAAGATAACATAAAGCAACTCAATAAATCTTCATTTATCACAGCCCGATCTTAAGTAAAATCTGCCAAACAAAAAGCTTTAAAACACGCAAATAAATTAAAGTCAATAAAAAATAATATATGTTTAAGTCGCCTGACTATAAAGATACAGATTCCACATTCATACAAAATATTGACAAGATTCAAAGAAAAGAAAAAGTTTGACCTTGATAACAAACCTCTTTTAAACAAAGTTAAGATGGCATATAAATATATAACTAAAATCTGTACTAAATTCTGCTCCTCATGCTTTCTCATAGGCAGAGTTTACTGTAGTAAGCACGCCGTTTAAGGCATATAAATAAATATATATGTATATATACACATATGTACGACATGTGCACACATATGTCAATTTTTGGGCGTGGGTGTGACACCTGTGTGTGTGTGTGTGACAAGTGGGTGTGGCAGGCCCGGGCAGCGTCATAAGTTACGCTACTAATTGAGGTTTGTAGTCGCTAAAAAAGGGGCGCAAGTGTCAAGGCCGCTGCCAGCTACAGTTCAGTCGATCTGCACGGGATTAGCGCACACAATTGCATACAACTCACATACATACATACATACACGCACACACGCCCACAAATCAGAAACGGTAAACGCAACAACAATTTACATTAACCAAAGCGAAGTTTTGAGATTTTCATTATATATTAACAGCGGTCACAGCTGTTGTGCACTAACAGCGCTCTGTTAGCTAACAGAGCTTTCACTGAAAGGAACACCAAGAACAACAACAACAAGCAGCAGCAGCAGCAGCAGCAGAAAGCATGTTTAATGTATTGCAAGGACATGAGTGTGGCGCTCCAGTGACCCAGTAACGAGTGCAGCACACGAGCTGAATAACAACAAAAAAATATGAAGAGACACACACACACACACATATACACAGCAATATACATAGTTATGTGTAGATGTAGCATGCACCCAACCCCGAGTTAAAAAACTATGAAAAATTACATGAAATACTTTTTGACATTTGCTTATTGGACATTTGCTTTTGTCAAATTGGAGTTGGCAGTCGAGCTGCAATTGCAATTGCAGTTTGTAGAGAAGTGTAATCAGTATTACGCACACACACACACACATACAGAGGTACACAACAGGCTGCGAGAGCGGAAGAGGCAGAGTCTTGTGTTTGTATGTGTGCTGCAAGCGCGCATTGGGATAGGTCAAGTCTGCTGCCATATGGCCATCAGCTGCTGCTGCTGCTGCTTTTGCAGCAAAGGGGCGTGTATGTATTTTTAAAGGAGAGGGAGTGGGGGGATTGCTGATTGATAGATATGTATGTATGAAACGGTAATTAGTTATCATCATTGTTTTACCCCAGATGGTGCATTTGTCGCAGCCGTCGGTCCCGTCGTTATGGCTGCGCCAGCATTTTGGTTGGCTGCCGCAGCAGCAGCGGCCGCTGCCGCCACTTGTCTGATGCTCAGGCAGTTGCACAGTGGCTTTGTCACGCCCAATGTGCACAGAGCATTGGACCACATGGTGGTGGTGTTGCAAGTGCTCGTTTCACCTTTCCCAGCCACTTTAATGCGATTCTGATTAGGCCTACTTCCAATTAGATGCGATTCGTTTAGTTGCCAGCAACAATAACAGCGTAGACAATAACATTAACAACGCGGCACACATAAAATTAACATTTTGTATGTTATATTATGTTAAATGTTTGTTTTATTTTAGGTTTTCCTCATAAAAACTGTTATATAAAATGCACACACGCACTGTGTTCCTCTTCTTTTTTTTTTTGCATATAGAAAATTATGTTTATAAAATCCTATAAATGCTTATAATGCTCCAAGCTTAAATCTAAGTTAAACGCGTTTTATTGTAGTTGTTTAAATGCCATTTGGAAAATTCGTCGCGTAAGGCTACAAAAATGTTAACAAATTGCAGCGCACTTACAAAAAACAAAAATAAAAAGACAAGAAAACGCACAAACACAAAATTGTGTAGTTAATAATAATAGAAAAAACACCGAGTATTAATTATTATCTTCGATGAGAAATTGGCTTTTCGACAGGTCTTTTTTTTTATTTTTTTTCGTTGGAATTTCTTTCTTGATTTCTTTTTTGGGCCACAGCAGCAGCAGCTGGCCTGGGCTGGGCAGGCGCCAGAGTTGTCAAGAGTTGACCTTCGCACTTTCACTTTACTACACTTGCGTGTGCCTGAAACCGCCGAGTTTTCATTTGGTGGGGGGTTGGGGCAACTGGGGCTGAGGTTGGGCCTGAGCCAGAGGCTGGGGCCAGGTGCTCTGAGCCTGCGTTCGATTTCAGTTTGTGTGGCACAGTTTCGTTTTCGTTTTTTTTTTCTATTTCGTTTTTTTTTTTTAGCACATTTAACACAAGCTTTGGGCTGTTGAAATTTGTACAAAAATGATTTGTAGTTGCTGCTGCTGCTGCCGTTGCAGTTGTCACACCCAGTTAAAAATTTAATATTTTAACAATGTGCCAGCGGAATCGCGTAGCTTGTGTAAAGCGCTCGTTAACGAAAGTAGCATCCTTGCTGGCTGTGGCTGGCTGCCTGGCACACACTGGGCTGCCTGCCTGCTCCTGTCTCCCGTTAACAGACTCTGTTAAGCGGCGCTGCTGCTGCTGCTGCTGCTGCAGCTGCAGAATGCAATGCAAAAGAGAGCATGAGAGCGAAAGTTGCGAGCAAAGCTTCCTATGCATGCATGCATGTGTGTGCGTGCTGTTGTGTGTGTGGGTGTGTGTCGCTCTGTTATTGCGTATTTTGTAGTAAATTAAATGTTAACGCGTAAGCTACTCGACTGCACTATGCGTTGCAACGCTCTCACTTCTTTCTGCACACACGCACTCACTCTCTTTGCCAGTAACATCTGTGCTTTGGCCTACATTTGGAATGTGATATAATCAGGGCGCGCTAAAGCTAACAGCTAACAAAACGGGCGGGCGCACACACGAACGCTCCACAAGTATTCAGGATGCACAGTGGCTCACAGCTAAACAGCGCCCAACTCCAGCCGCCACACAAATGCCAGAAGCTCTGTCAATTAGGCACAAACACAAGCACACACACACACACACACACACTCAGCCACATTCACACACAGGTGCACAGTTATGCATAGCGAGTGGGGGGTGGGGGGACGCTGAAAAGTTGCACAAGGTTGCAATTGGCTCGCTTTCATTTTCATTTGGTTCGCTCCGCTTTGCAGTAGTTGATTTAAGCAAAGCAGCGCTTTGGGTAAACATTTATTTTGAATCAATTTTTTGAATTAAGTTTTTCTATTTGTAAATCGACAGCAGGACACAGTCAACATTCTGAGCGCCTAATTACGTTTGCATATTTGCAGCGCTAAAAAGTATGCTATAGGCATATAATATAAGCAACTATTGCTACTCCCTAGTTATTTTAAATAAAAAAATTATAATGTTTACGTTGTCTTTTCCTTCTTCTGTCCTTAAAAAGCTACTCCCATTTCTACTCCAAATTATCTTCAAAAAGTGTTAATCTTGTCATAATTTAAATACTGTTACAATTGGTATATTTTTTTTAATTCAAAGCGCCAGTGTTGCTGCTTTGTCGAGAGCAGCGACATATTGCAATTTCATGTGCAGCAGCTCGCTCTGGCTCTCAGCACAGCATTGCCAGATGTAAGAAAATACAACATTTTAACCCAAAATGTTAACAGCGCCTTTAAGCTGACTATGTTTTGGACTGCATGCAAAAATACAATAAAATATATAATATTTGCTTGTTGCAAAGCGCTGGTAAACGAAAAAGTTCGTGATTTAGTTAATGATTTATATGCTTAAAATAAATCCACTGCAATTGCAACTGTATTTAAGAGCAATGTAATCAACATGTAGGTCATGTGCGAGTGCTGCTTAGCCGCCCGCCCACAAGCTTAATGCAGACTGATATGGGAGTGTCATTAAGTGCAACTCGTTGCATTCAAACAAATACGCACAAATATGTGTGTGCTTGTATGTTTGCGTTGGGCTGTTACTATAAATTTGGATACTCGCAGGAAAACAAAAAATATAAAAACATACCCGCAGACCACATACATAAACAACAACAACAAAATATATAAAGTAAATGTACGAAACGCAGGGCATCAACAAAAGCTACATGTGCACATTCAGTAGGGTGTATTACCATAGTTATTTGGGTCAAAGCTATTCACTCAGCCGCAAAGCAAAACGAAACGAAATGAAGAAACTGCATAAAGCATGCACACACACACACACACACTGACATACGCACACACACACACACACACACACGCACGCACATAAAATGCTTAACGGGGGCTTAGACCCAAAGCCAACGCAGCTCAGCGACTAAGTTGAAAACAAATGAGCGGAGAGTAAAGACAGGCCGGAATTGGGAAACAACTGTAAATCGACACGATAGGTGGAGAGTGGAGAGATATGTTACTGCTACTGTTACAGTTTTATGTTAGAAGTAACGGCAAAAACAGTATGTATATGTGTATAATATTTTAATTCACAAGCACTGCATAACTATGTATGTATGTATGTATGTGTGTGTGGGCCGGCACCCCCGCACTTTTCGCCTCACGCCATTTCGCTTAGCCCGCAAGAAATCTCACTTACCTCTCTGGCCATTACGACATGTCTCAAAAGCAGGGCCCGCTTAGAGGGTCTGCCATTTGCGTTGGCTTCAACGGCAACAACAACACGTCCTCTGACTCTGCCTCTGCCTCTGCGTCGTCGTTGTCGACGTGGTCGTTGGCGTTGTCGTCGTCGTCGTCGCCGTCGCGTCTGTCGTCCTTTGGCGGCGGCGGCTAACAGGAACAGCAACACCAACAACAACTGTGCACGGCTTACACTTTTCGCGCATACGAGTCTCTGTTTGTATGTATGTCTGCGTAAGTGTGTGAGTGTTTGTCTGTATGTATGTCCGCACAGCGTTGGCGGTAGCGGTGGCGGTGAGAGGGCACTCGCTGGGGAGAACGGCGGCAGTGGGCGGTTGGTTGGTGGGCGTGTGGAGTGTGCTTCAAAAATTCTCTACTACACGTTTATTTTCAATCTTCCCGCAACGCGCCGATGCTGTGTGCTGCTCTACTGCTGCTTCTTCCTTTTGACGTTCCTTTTTGGCACCGTGCTTTCTCTCTCTCACTCTTTGGCTCGGCTCTCTATGCCTTTTTTCGTGGTGTATGTAGGTGTGAGTGTGTGTGTGTACATACGTACATATGTTGGTGGTGCTGCTGCTCCTGCTGAGTGTGTATTGGTATTTGCCTTGTACAATTTGATTATTTATTTAAACAATTCTTTATTTAATTGCTTTGCTATAGCATTAATGCTGCCGCTTATCACTTTTATTTTATTTTATTTTATTTTTCTTTTAACTACGTACACCTACACCCACTATAATACACACACACACATATCGACATATATGTACGTAGGTGCGGCTGCGATGTCGGCGAAGATTTGCTGTTGGCAGTGTTTGTGTGCGTGTGTGTGTACCGTTATCATTTTATTCACATTGAACACATTTTTGAATCCGATCTGCAATTAATTGTCGCGTTTGTTTTTTATTTATTGTTTTTTGTTGGCAATTAGAACAACAATAAAAATGGGCACATGAGCAAAATCTTAAAGGCGCACACGCACACATATGTACATACAGGACACGCTTAATCTCTTGGTTTGCTTCTATTTTCTAGTATTGGTAGTACCCACGCCTTTCATTTGTCACTTTTCACTTCATTCAGACGAGTTCCGTGTTCACTTTTTTTTCGAAGATTTTCAAACGAATTCTAGTATAAATATTTTTTGTTCAAAGCACGAAACTAATGCAGTTTAATTACAAAACAAACACATTTTAACAGTCAAAAGCACAGAACAAACACGCAAATCAATGCTCCGCAGAGGCCCAGTGCTAAAAACGGCTAACCGTCACGTTGCTGAACACTGAGGCAGCATCGAGTTCTAACAACACTGATATTAATCGAGCAACTTACTCGCCATTTAACAGAAATACCGCACACCTAACAGAATTACCAAATATAGTAAACTGTCCCTTGTTTAAATTTATTAGAAAAACTGGTGATCTTAAAAACAATCAACAGGGGTGAATAAAATACAGCTAAAACTACAGTTTATATAAAGAAAATATACATCAGCTAGCGTTGAAATAACACTCAACGAGCAGCAAAAATAAGGCAATTCAAACTTGTGTGACCTATTGAAAATTCCAATCGGAACATTTTCGATATACTGAATAGCATGCTATAAAAAAGTAAAGTAATCGTCAAGTCCGATATATTACATTTATTTCGCCATCCCTGGACGGCAGCCGAAACTTGCTTAAAATTTTACACAAAATTACGTGTCTCGATTGGAATTTCGCAATATGGTTGACAATCTACCGCCCCTAGAACCCAGTCTGCAAAACCTTGTGGAACAGGAATCTCTAAAATGGATATTCGTAGGCGGCAAAGGCGGCGTGGGCAAAACAACTTGCAGGTGAGACAGAGACAGTCCCAACAGCAGCAACAACAAAAACAACAACTTGAATGCCGTGCAAATCCAATTAATCCATCCGCAGCTCCAGCTTGGCGGTGCAACTGGCCAAAGTGCGCGAATCGGTGCTGATCATCTCCACAGATCCGGCGCACAACATATCAGATGCGTTCGATCAAAAGTTCACCAAGGTGCCGACTAAGGTCAATGGCTTTGACAATTTGTTTGCCATGGAAATCGATCCGAACGCGGGTCTCAGCGAGCTGCCCGACGAGTATTTCGATGGCGAGAACGAGGCATTGCGTGTCAGCAAGGGTGTCATGCAGGAGATGATCAATGCGCTGCCCGGCATCGACGAGGCAATGAGCTACGCCGAGGTGATGAAGCTGGTGAAGGGCATGAACTTCTCGGTCGTGGTCTTTGATACGGCGCCCACGGGGCATACGCTGCGCCTGATCGCATTCCCGCAGGTGGTCGAAAAGGGTTTGGGCAAGCTGCTGCGTCTAAAGATGAAGCTGGCACCGCTCCTGACGCAGTTCGTCTCCATGCTGGGCATGGCCGATGTGAATGCGGACACATTGTCACAAAAATTGGATGACATGCTGCGCGTCATAACGCAGGTCAACGAGCAGTTCAAGAATCCGGTAAGCAGTGGGAAAATTATGTATTTGAGTCCACAATTCATGCGTCTTTTTGCAGGATCAAACCACATTTGTTTGCGTGTGCATTGCCGAGTTCTTCTCGCTGTACGAAACGGAGCGTCTGGTCCAGGAGCTGACCAAATGCGGCATCGATGTGCACAACATTATTGTCAATCAATTGTTGTTTTTGGGCAAATCGCATAATAGCTGCAGCATGTGCGCATCGCGGTTCAAGATCCAGGAGAAATATCTCGATCAGATTGCAGATTTATATGAGGACTTCCACGTTACCAAGCTGCCATTGCTTGAAAAAGAAGTGCGCGGCCCGGAGAGCATTAAAACATTTTCGGAAAACCTAATGATACCCTACAAGCCGAAAGAAACTGCGCCTATGTAGGCATTTGTTTGTATGCATCGTTCTAGTTTGTAAGATTTTTGATGAACTTATTGTGTATATGTGGTTGCATGAAATATAAAAACCCAATTATGGTCTGGTGTCGCACGCGGTCAATTTTGAAAATGGCGGCTGCGTATTAAAGATTTATCGATGTATTGATTTCAACTAAATCTGAGCAGGGTCACTCTGAACCAATCAGTGCATTCGATATGCATGATTAAATATCGATAGCAAGAGGCACTAATTTGAATGTTTGTATCGAGCAGTTTAGTCATCTCTAAGTTTTATTTTGCGTCGTTTTGTTTGCTGCACAGCACTTTCGGGTTTTTGTTTTCTTCGTTGTTTTTAAGTCCTTGTCAAATGTAACACTGCACTCAACTTTGGCCATTTCTAATCGCTATCAAATTTAGAATTTATTAAATATTTCTGCCCGCTGCACACCCGCAACAACTAAACGAATTTCTCAAGGATTTCTAGGACTGCACAACGAAGGCAAACAGGTGAGTTAGCTGTCAGTTAATTGAGCGCCAAAGTTGCTCTAGGCTTATGTGTGCGTGTGTGTGTGTGTGCGTGTGCGTGTCAGTTTGTATGCGATCAATAATACAACAAAAGCCACCCCACACAAACAATCACCCACAATCGTCAACGCCACAACAATGTGTAATAATAATAACTACAACAACAGAATTTACTGCTGTGGTTCCATTTATAATATACATATGTATATACGCACACAAACGATAAAGTTGGACAACATTCATATGTGCTGATTGTTGTTGCTGTCGCTGTTTATGAGAACCCAACTGCCGCGTCGTTTCCGCATTTCCCTTTATGCACCAAACACAGGCACATCCGCTTGAGCTGAATGCCACATTTGTCCTTGGCGAAGCCGCCTTCCTGTGGGCCACAACCATTGCATGTCGCGTGACCTTAAGCTATTTGCCAACGGCTCGACTAGAATATGCATAGACATACATACATATATGCTCAGAGTGTAGGGTGTTTGCTTAATTAAATTGGTCGCGAGTCGACCCATTTTTGGGGCTAGCTCCTTTTATGGCAACGCCAACGGGCACGTATGCACCAAAAGCCGTTAGAATAGCCCAATAGAGAAAATTCCGTCAGTCGCATGAGGCAACACAATTTGCGGGTAAAGAACTCCCAATCAGTGTGTGGGGGCCATTATTCACCCGACACTATCTTGAGATGTTTGAGGCAGCCTTTTATCAATAAGATACGCGCTCATTACAGTGATGCCAACTGTCGCTTTAAAAAAGCAGCTGAATTCAATGTTAAAATGCTAAAAATAGCTGAATTAGCTTGCTGCACAAAGGAAAAAAGTTGAGTTGCCAAAAAAAAAGCTAACAAGTTGTTCACTCAAAGCCAAATTTGGCTACAAATAAGCTGAACTGGCAACGCTGCTGCATTGGAATTCCCCAATTTGGTGTGTGTGTGTGTGTGCTGTTTATATATATATGTATGTAATGCTTTATCAAACTCCCATGCTTGCTACTGGAAAGAGACAACAACAAAATGTCCGTCGCAGGCTTAAGACAGAGCCTATTGCTCTGGAGCGTTGACTACTGGAATCTGGAAGGTAAATTGAGAGATTTCCATAAAGTTGATTGATCTTCGGTTTCTTCAGTTTCACCTTTATCACGATTTGCAATTCAAATAACTAATAAAGCCTCCTTTCCAACCTCTTGTAGCTGTAATGGCGGACAATGTGTTCAAGTCGCACGATATTGGGTTACGCGCTCAAAAGAAAATACTCTCACGCATGGCAACGAAAAATATTGCGAAAACCTTTATTGACGGCACAACGGCCTCGCTGCTGGATAATCTCTACAAGCTCTGCAAGCTGCATACGGGCAACAAGGCGCGCGCCGAGAAACTGATTAAAAATATTATCAAAATTGTTATTAAAATTGGCGTTCTGCATCGCAATAATCAGTTTAGCTCGGAGGAATTGCAAAATGCGGAGAATTTTAAGCGCAAATTTCAGGTAAAGTTCAAAAAAATACACTGAGAATTTAAATGATTATTGTGGCTACCTTTGCAGAACACACAACTGTCCATCATATCGTTCTACGAGGTGGACTTCACCTTCGATCTGGCATATCTGCAAAAGTCCATACAGGAATCGCGTGTGGCACTCAAGTCGATTGTGCAGCCGCATTTAACGGACAAGTCCATTGGCCGCATCGACGAGGTGTTTGATTTCTTTGGCGATGCGGCCCTGCTGGAGCTGGCATTCAAACCGGACTCGCCATATCGCGAGGTGATGGGCAAAATTGTGGCCGACATCAACTCGGCCATGGAAACGGGTGACATATGAGCGGCAGTCATGCTGCAAGCTATTGAAAAAGGGGCTATTATCAAACCAAAAACAAACCAACAACAACAACAATAACAACTACAACAACATGAGATACTAACAACTAGTTAAAAGGCCTACAAAGTCCACCAAATAGAAAGTAACGTAGCGCGGCATAAAAGACAAGATGAGAAAAAGTGAAAACTCGTTAGACAAAAGGATTATTTTAATTGAATTGGTGATATCACAATTAACACTATTAAGTAGCAGTCAAAAACGTCCAGATTGATTTAATTTAAGCCAATGTTAACATTTTTTGTCGTTTAGATTTAAGAAGAAATGCATTTTGCCAAAGGAATTCACAAAAAAGCAAACAAACAAACAAAACTCAGATTGTTAACGCTAGCAAAATGCTTTTTATCAATGTATTTGTCGTTGATTCTATTCGTAATTGTGTACGTTATAAGTATATGTAAAAGTCTGTCTAAATATTGTATTGTATGTGTGTGCGTCTGCACAAATGTAGTTTAATATTTGATACTTTTGTCTGTTTTGATACTCCAAAACTCGCTCTTTAAATGCAATTATATACTCGCTTCATATCTAAGAACCTATCAAATATCTCTCTATATATATATATGTATAGCCCTGTACTTAATGTCCCTTTATCAAATTTTTGCTGATCTCCAGAAGAGTTTCCTAACTATTTTCACGACACGAGCGAATTGTTGCACCCATAAGAACGGAATTAAAGCCATTGCATATTAAATTGATTAAAATGTTAGTTAATACACATTCTAGAGTTGTTTGTCGACCCGATTTACGTACGTATTTCTTATTATGTATTCCAGCCTCATAGCCAAAGGCGTGCGGTTCAATAACCTTAAGCATTATTTATGATATTCCTCCCCTCCAAATTGTTTTTCCAAATAGATATTTAATGTACCCATAACATATCAAGAGATCAACACAATATCATATATATATGTATAGTTGATCGAGACAAACAAAATCCGTGGCACATATTTTCGATATTACACTTGATGGGATTCAAGTTTATAGTTTAGATTTTAAAAACGTGTTTTTATTTGTTTAGAAAACAAATTTATGTTGACTCCCCAATAAAAAACCAACAATGATTATTATAAAACTCAACTAATGACTTACTTTATTTGCCTAACAACTTCACTCGGCGCGTTTCTGCTCCAACATATCGCCTGCCTCCAGTTTCTGCTGCTTGAACAGCTCGATGAGCTTCTCTGTGGCCGTTTGTGGCACATCGAACGGCTGCGATGCTTCGGTGCTGGGGTAGTTTTGGCTGTTTGCATCGGGCGATCGCAGCAGAAAAGGCGTCCAGGCTCCTTGTATGGACGGCACATCTGTGTGCCACATTTTGCGCAGGCGCAACGAGCTGGAGCTGCCGTTTTGAGTCTTCAGCAGCTCAATCCATTTGGTTATCTCAGCCTGTGTGCTGTTCCGGCAGCTCAGCCATTCGCGATCACCATTCACTAAGTGGTCGAAATGCATATTAATATTATATTCCAACCTTTCCATACGGGGGCTACTCACAGTATTCGCCCACGAGAACAGGTGTACGATGGCGTCGTGGTTTCACATAGACTACAATGCCGGGATTCTCCTTGGCAAAGTCCACCAAATGGTTTTCAATGAAGTCCCTTTTCCAATAAATTAGGTGTTGCACATAAAAGAATATATGTTTTGTTTAGTTTTGCTTACCGCATGCCGCGGCTGGAGCCGTTGTTCTTGCAGAACTTCAGTGTGAGGCGCTGCAGCTGGCAGACATAGCGGCCGAGACCATTTTGTAGGGGTGCGCGCGGAAAACCGGATTTAAGAAACAGATGACTATTTGACATATTTAATGCTTTTTAATTAATATGCAGCCGCAGTTGCTGTTTTAATACAGACTTTCTCAATTTTCTTAACCAAAAGCGACGTAACCTCACGCCGTGTACAAATGTCAGCTGTTGCTGTTGCGCTCTTAGACAGGGTTGTTCAACAGAGCAAAGAGGGAGCAGTGTGCGAATAAGCAAAACAAAATATTAATGCAATGCAATATCCCTAATTAAAAACAGGATTTAACACATTTGCATTTGTTTGTATGTAACAATTAGCTAGCAGAGTGAAATCGCAGTTGTTGCTGCTACACACGCTGTTACCACAAACCGGTTTTCGTTGAGTGCGTGACACTGTGCGTCTGGCGTTCAACAGCCCTGCCTATTATAAGCGGCTGATAACGGCGAAAAGCGGCACGAAAGAGAGAGAGCGTCAATTCAAATGCAGCAGCAGCGTCGCGTCGTTTTTCTTTTGACTTCGGAAAAAAGAAAAGAGAATTAGAAAACGTGCAACGTGTTCGTGGAGCGCGCACTCTGGCTGCATTTTCAATTGATTGCATTGCCTTATCAGTGAATTATTTAGCACAGTAGCACGATAATGGCCACAGTGAGTTCAATTTATAAATACAATTAGCCATTGCAATCGCATTGTAAACAAATGCCGCCCCACAGACTATTGCAGGTTCAAAGTACCCGCAGCTTTGCAAGGCTGCTGCAGTCAACAACGACGTTGATGACGACGACGACGATGATGATGATGAGGAGGAGGAAGACGAGGAGGCAGATGAGTCGGGCTCGACCAGCTCGTTTAGCTTACAGGAATGCATAAACGAGTTTCGTGCGCGCCGCATCAGACGCGTCTCCACGCAAAGCCGTGGCGAGGAACCAACAGCAGCAGCGGCAGCACCAGCAACAGCAGCACCCATCGCCGCCGATACGCATCTAATCAACCAGAATCTGTGCAACAAGGCGCAGGAGCGCAGGGGCAAACCGTGCAAGAACGGTTTCTGCTATTGCTTCACCAGCGACAGCGGCGACTGCGCATCGACGGCCCCGCCACGTGCCGCATGGCACGTGCGGCAGCACAAACGCAGCAGGCGCTCCGAAAGCAATAAGGTGCGCTCTGAACCCAGCCGAATCCTCGTTTTATTTTCAGATCAATTCACATAACTAACAACTAATATATGCTGCGTTTTTTCATACAGGTTGGCGTGGCACAGCCGCCTCCGAGCAATCTGAATGGACAGCAGCGCCAGAATCCGGTTCAGTCACATCGCCACAAGCAGTCGGCCGTCTTTGCGGGTCACACCTCCATAGACGCCAGCCCACTGACCGCTGTCAGTAGCCTGCACGCGGTGGGCGAGAATGCGCCGCTTATACACATTATACAAGAGCTGCGCGACAATTGCGTCATTTCGGAGGTGCGCGTCAACAGGGAGAAGCTCGCCAGGGCCAGCAATTCAGCTGCAGCCAAGCTCAAAGTAGCTGCGCCAAAGATGCGTAAAACAGAGTGCATAGATTATGCTCCCACGGCGCCCGTGCTCTCGAACATTAGCGAGCAGGAGACGCCGCCGGAGGAGAGCGTGGAGGCCTTGCAGACGGGCGGCAGCCTGCACTCGACACGACGCAGCTCGCGTCGCAGCTCCAGCGGCGCTGGCGGGCGACTGCTGCAGAAGCGCCTCTCCCACGGACAGGTGAACTTTAAGACGCGCGACATGGAGCAGCCGCCGCCAAAGCCGCCGCGCCGCAGCTCACAGAGTCTCGATGGTAAATTCTCGCTATCATCGTTGACCTCGACGACGCCTTCGGTGCGGGATGCCGAGCGCGTCTTGGACGAATTTCTGCGCAAGCATGGCGTAAAGCTGCCGGCCGCAAAGATGGAGAACTTGCCCAAAGCCAAAAGCAAGCGTAAATCCTATCCGCTGGGTAAGTAAAAGGCGCACAGCTAACTCTCGGCAATAATTATTAACAAAGGTTTTGGCTAAATTAGCTCTACTTTAACTATTTGGTAGTTAGTTTTAATGCTTTCCGTTGATACCAAATTAATATACAATTAAAATTGTAGAAATAAAACAAAAATATGTCTTTGATATATTCATGTGCTTCCTTATAATATGCTTCCACAATTCCAGCTGAAATTGAGAAACCCGAGCGCATCGCTCCATTGCCCAGCTGCCCCTCGCTGAGCGACATTGAGCGTGTGGTGGAGTCCAAGCGTGGCGCACACTATGTCAAAAACATACACATGGCCAGCCGCAAGAGCGCCGTGGCCGATAAGCCGCTGAAGGAGTTCACGCTGGGCTGGACGGAGCCCAAGATCAACGATATGTTAAACTATGACACGGCCAAGCGGGCGCAGTTCAAGACGCACGCGGCAGAGCCAGCGCCACAGGTGGCCAGCAACATGGGCTGGCAGGCGCCAAAAGTGTCGCTGGATACGGTTGATGGTGTCAGCGATAATCTGGCCGTCAACATGGAGCAGAAGCACACGCCCATCAAGTATCCACGTCTGCCCGCCAACAAGCACAGCAGCAGCCAGAAATTCATTTGGGGCGAACAGTGGCGACAATTGACGCCCTGGAATGGCAACGGGCAGCGCACTGGGTTGCGCAAGAAGTCGAAAAACTTTCTGAACAATTCCAAAAAGAAAATACTGCGCTTTGTCTCGCCCAAGAAGAGCAACCAGCAGCAGCAGGAACCAGAGCAAAGCGAGCGCCGGCGACCCACGCCGCGTCTCTGCACCGTGGGCGTCCAGACATCCACATCCCAATTGGATCTGCAGTCACAGTCGCAGTCGCCGCCGGGCAGCTATCACTCGCCAGTGCAGTCAACACCAACCGTCAGCGGCAGACAGCATCAGTACAAGGCTAGCTCCGAGCAGCCCTACTTTGATTTCGAGCGCAAAGTCAAGCCGCCAACGCCGCCCAAGAAACTGCCGCGCGCACAGCGTCCGCGCAAGCTGAACTTTCAACAAGCCGACAACAATCCCGCCACGTATCGCTCCTTTCACAAGGAACTCGATCAGGATGTGACCATCACCAAAATGGGCTATCTGCTGGGCAGCATACGCGCCAAATTGGAGGCCAGCGATGAGCGCGCCCTGCGCACATTTCGGGTAAGTCTTCTTTTTATATTTCTTTTTTTATATACAGTAAATTTGGTGGCATTTATTGACGGGTGAAGAGACTTAAATGCTAGGTCAGTGCAAAGATAGCGCCAAGTGCGTAGTGATCGGAGCCAAGGTAGTGATTCGGTATGCAGCCCACATTCGAGCAACAGTTGATCGTGGGCAGCCTGTAGATGCTGAGCACCTGCAGCTTTTGCTTGTTCTGCGGGCACACCGAGTGCAGAATATAGTCAACGGTGATCCACTTGTCCTGAAATGTGGACGCCGTATATTCACCAAAGTCCAAGGACTCAAAATTTAGCGCCGGATCATCCACAGCTATGGTCGTAAGCAGCTCCATGGGCGGCGCATGTATTTCCGAGTTAAAGTCGCCGGTTAGAATGACGGGCGTCGGGTATGACTCGTCGGGCTGCTTCGCATCGGCATCTATGGCAAAGCTGCGCAGCTCCGACAGCAGCTTGTTCACCTGGGCACAGCGCACATCGTGCCGTTTCGGATTGTAGAGCAGATGCGTTGTGGCTACGATCACCTCCTTGGGCTCCTTAAGAACTTTTGTCTGGCTGGTCGACTTCAGTCGAAATTTGGCCAACAGCGCCACATTCTCGCGATTCAGCAGCGGCACATTCGCATCGTACAGCTCCACGCCCTGCTGGGCGAGCAGCTGCAGTTTGCAGGCATCGTAGATGATGGCACAGCCGTCGGTTCGACTGCCTGTCTTCTTTTTGTACACGTACTCCAGGCGCTTGCCGCTGCTGGCTGTCAAACGCTGCACTAGCATGGGCAAATGGTCGTACTGCATCTCCTGCAGGCAGAGTATGTCCGGATCCAGTTTGTGTATCTCGCGGTGTAAACTTTGCAGGCGCTGCTGCCAGGTCAGCCACTGCTGTTTGATGTTCACATAGAGGAAGAGGTGCTCCATTAGCAGATCCTGCGCGAGTATGTTGTACGACAGCAGTTTGATTCTGGGATGCGGATTAGCCTCAAATTTGGGTGTTAGCGTCCATTTGCGGTTGTAGTCGTAGGGTTGCTCCATTTTACGGCTTGGCTGGCGCCTACTGTACAGGCCTCTGCGAAAGATTTGTATACTCATGTTAAGGGGTCGGAACGGGGATTTGGACATCTCATGCAAGTACAAGGTTACAACAGATTCCTACGTTTTTGATCCCCTTTCCGACCAAAAATAATGAAAACAGCGCCAGCCAGTCCTGTCCTCCGCAGCCGTGTTATTGTGACCTTCGATATTTGTTGCTAATTGCCATTCACATTTCGATAAATTGCTTTTGTAATCGTTATCGAACGTGTTGACAAGGCGCGCAATTGTGTATATACCAAATGAACTAGTTCAATTGTTTTAATTTTGTTCATTATCGAACATGTAAATACCAAATGAACTAGTTCAATTATTTAAATTTTGTTCGCTAAGTTAAACTATATAACAAATAACAAAGCTTAATAACAATTAATTAACTTAGTTCGCCTAACTAAACTAACTTAATTACATTTTTGTGAGTATCACGTTTGAATATGGAATAAATCGTATTTTAGGAGAGTTCACGTTACACGCCCGTGGAACAAACGGAGCTACCATCTGATGGCATCGACTGCACGGATTCATCCAGCAACCATTTGCAGCGCTCGGCAACAACCACGTTGCGGCCGCGACGTGATCTCCACCGCGAACCCATTTACTCCGAGATTGAGGAGGACTGCATGGTCATAAGCGGCAGTCCTCAGTTCGACGTGAGAACAGAAGCGCAGCTGGAGGTGGCGCCAACGCCGACTCCCACGCCCACGCCCACAACAACTGGAACAGTGACAGCAACAATCAGCGAGCCAACGCCCGTGTCCTCACCTCTGCCATATCAGAAACAACCAGCTGCAGACCTCAACGCGCTGTATGCCCAAGTGCAAAAGGCCAACAAGGCGGCGTTTAAGCCAACAACTCCAACAACGTCTGCGGTTTCGCCCAAGGCACTGGGTCACTTTCTGCAGGAATCCCTGTTAAATGG